TCTGGGTCTGCCTATCCCACCTCTTTGAAATAAATGCAGCTATGGGGATTCCTAGGTTGATTCCTAGTGTGGACTCCTAGGTTGATGGATGGATCCTTCACCTTTCCCTGCTCCCTTTCTTAGCTTAACCAGTCACACCCAACATAGGTTAGTCTGGCCTTATTTTCAAGCACTGAAAGCACAGTTTTGTGTGTCAGAAAGGGAAGCTTCCAACCAACCATCCATCCATCCAACTATCCATCCATCCAACCATCCATCCATTCATCCAACTATCCATCCATCCATCCATCCATCATTCTATCCACCCATGTATCCACATAAGCAACCAACCAGCCAGACATCTACCCATTCACCCATTTGCACATCCAAGATAAATTAGCAAAGAATTGTGTAAGCAGTGATATACTGGTACATGTTTAACCAGTCAGCCTGGGAGAAAACCCTGATTTGTGCCAGTTGCCAATTTCTGTGGTATAAATATTCCCATCTGGGTTGAATTCAAGCTACCAATATGATGGCAACAATGCAGAATTAAAAACGATGCATAGGAGCATGGTTTTATACACTATTCCTACCATCCTACCATATAGAAATATAACCTCAAGAGAGTAGGTGATTGTGAAATGTAGGAAAGTAGGAAATGAGTGTTGAGTAAGAATACTGGCTACTTTTCATTTAAATAATTCATTTAATCAAAAGCTTATATAACTTAATCTTAAACAATGGTTGTATTTAATAACCAGATGGCAAAACTCCTGACAAATTAGCAATCAGCGGGTGCAAGCTCTTATGAGCCAGCTCCTGTGCAGGGTACATCTGGGGTTCAGAAGAGAAAGTTGTTCTCTGTTGGGGGCAGGAATTGAAGGGGACACACATGGTATCATAGCCAAGTCTTTAAATCTACAGTGAGGGAGAAGACCAATGTGGTTTAGCTTTCAGTCAGAATTAAATACAATTTAAAGTGCCATCTTTAATTCTATTACATTCATTACCCACACTAACTTCAACTATGTTTCCTTTCCCAGCACCAGTAACATTCAATCAACAACTCCCTCCTTGCTGAAACCCCTTCTTCTCTTGGCCCCTCTTGTTCTTCCCGTCTTACTTTCCTCCCATCCTGGCTTCCTGTGCTGACTCTTCCTCCTCCTCGGCTCAGCATCCAAAGGTTAGGGTGTCTGTGGCTCAGGCACTGGCCCTCCGCTCCTTGCTGTATATACTCTTCCTAAAGATTTCAGTTAGTGCTGAACTTTTAAATATCCTGATTGACCAGTGATTTTTTTATTCTTGCGAAGCATTGCATGCAAGTAGTTTTTTAAGAAGCCAAATAGTGCTAAAAAGCTTATTTTTAATTTTAATTGCATTATTTTATCGAGGCAAAGTTGGTATACACCACTGTATGTGTTTAAGAAGTATAGACTCCTGCCTTTTCAGATGTTACCACACCATACCCTCCACCACAGTCCCCACAGTTCACCACCACAGTCCACTGTGCCCCTCTCTCCAGCCCCTCTGGTCGCCTCAATTTTACAGTCAGAATTCTAGAGTTTGTCATTGGTTTGGTTGTGTCTGACCCTTTTTGGTTTTGTTTCTCTATATTCTGGACATGAGTGAAACTACCCCATATTTGTCTTTCTCCTTCTGACTTATTTTGCTTATCGTCATTCCCTCCAGTTTCACCCACGCTGTCACAAAGGGCAAGAGTTCACCTTTTTATAGCTGTGTCGTATTCCACGGTGTGTATATACCACACCTTCTTTATCCACTCATCTGTTATTGGGCACACAACAGGTTGTTCCCACAACTTGGGCTCGTGTCTTGGGGTTTTGCTGCATCCTCCACGAGGCATCCCTCACCCCACTCCCCAGAGTGGAGCCTGGGCTAAACCCCTCCGTAGTCCATGGCCCCCTCTCAGAGCACTTAGCCATGACAGTCAGACCACCTCATTGTGTGGGACTGACCCACTCTCTCACCACTGTGACGTTGGAGTCCAGCTCACAGATGGGCGCACTCAGCATTCTCTATGATATGCACAAACGAACAGTATCATCACGGGGGTATCAATCTGGGTCCCCCTGCTCCAAAGCCCATGCTCTTTGCACAGAATTCTTCTGTCTTCCCCCATTGTGAGCAGTGACAGCTCCACCAGAGGCTTACAACTTTGCCATCATCCCTGGCAGGACACTTGACCCAGCTCATCATGAAGATGCCTGCCCGTGACCGTGAACAAAGACTTACATTTTTCAAGGTATGTGTTCACTTAGCTTTGGAAGATTATCGAAATTCCTGCCACTTTCTGTGTCCGGCTGTTGCATGAACAGAGGAGGATTCCCTCCCTGCATCCCTGACAGCAAGGCCTGCGAGCATGGAAGGTGCACACTCACCTGGTGGGAACTCTTGGCCCCTGGTTTGTATCTCCTGTGCTGGGGATGCCAGGACCAGGCTGGATAAGGGTCAGAGGACTGGAGCTTTCTAAATGCCTGGGGTGTGGGTCAGGGGGCCTTCCTGGGTGGGCAGGGTGTCATAAAGGAAGAATACCCAGTTCTACCAGTCCTGGGCATGAAGCCAGGACTCAGGCTAGGAATTTGGAGGACATCAGTGTGAACACAGGTCCACACGTGTGGAGACAGACTCGGGCACCTGAGCACAGACACTCAGAAAGTGAAGGGGCGCGTGAGGAGGGGTGACCCTCAGGGGAGCAAGGATACCACTTAGAAACTTAACTAGTACATACCTCATGCTGGGATACACAGCATGGAAACATTCTGAGCAGGTCCGGAAGAAACAAGGACAACGTGTTCACGCAGGGTGGGGATGAGTAGGTGGGGAGATCGTTAGGTGGGTGTCCATCGACGTGGGCAGGCCAAGTAGTAGGCTCATGGCTCAGAGTAGCAGGCTGGGTGCTAACATGGATGCACCTTAAAAACACAGTGCTGAGTGAAAAAGAAAGCATGAGGATATCCCAAGTTAGCTGAACAGAAGCACATGGACACAAAGCAATAATGACCCCATTTTGCCAGCACATGAAAGATACCCAGTAAGCACCCTGAATGACTGTCTGTGGGAATATGGGGTATGGTGCTGAGGTAAAATGAGTGAAACAACAGAGGGGCCTCATGGGCACAGGAGGGGCCATATACTGAGAGCCGTGAACTCACCCTCTATGTCAGAGGTTAAAAAGAGTGGGGAGGAAAAAGTGGAAGGAAAAACTAGAGGGGAACTTTGGGAGCTTTGGGCTTCACCCACATCCTGCACTGACCCAGCACCCAGCACCCATGGAGAGCATACCCCTCACAGCCTGAGCAGGTGCTGAGGACAGGCAGAGGGAAGGTTCATGAGACCTTTGCTCTCGAGTTGCTCACAAGCCAGCACAGGTGTGAGAGCAACACACAAATACCCACTTGACAGGGCAGGACACTGCCCCTCCTATAAGAGGAAGGCAGGAGTGGGAGTCCAGGCGGGCTGGCCCCCCTCTGGCCCGGGCATGAGGAAGGCCTCAGGGTGGCTGGGAAGGGCACTGAGGAAAAGTACTGGAAGAAGGAATGGTTTTAACCAAGCACTGGGATGCTCCACCCATACATTGTTAGTGCCGCAGAGGAAGCTGAGAGAAGATGCTGTCTTGAGTGCCATGCTCCGGGGCTGGGATTTCATTCTGAATATGGCGGGAGCCACAGAAGGGCTTCACAAGGGTACACACCAGAGGCAGGAGCACCACGAAGCAGTGGGGAATTCACAGAGAGGGAGAAGGGCCTGACTAGAAGGGAGTCTGAGGGCGGCCAGACCCCCAGGTCTCAGCTCAGGAGTGTGTGCTGAGGCAGGGGTGAAGACTCTCCAGCTGAGCCTGGGGCTTCCCTGCTGTGTGTCCTGGGGACTTCCCACAGCACAGGAAGAGGGAAGAGGGTTGAGTGGTTGCACAGTGCTCTCTCCACAGACATGCCCAGGTCCCTGCTGTCTGCAAGCCCCTGTGTGGGAGAAGTCTGGGCTGTTGGCCACACACGGTACTTTCTGAGTGAGTTTCAGTTTGAATGGTGGTAAATTCCAACTTGGTGAATGATGAGTTGCATTTGGAGATTTTGGATTCCCGGTTATGGGCACACATGAAGTCCATGGATACACACACGTCTGTTCCTCCAACCAGAGCCGGGCAGGTGGCTGCTGGGAGATCTAATCCAATCCCTTTACCTCTTGTTTTTACAAATGAAGAAACTGAGCCCAAGAGGAAAAGGGTTTATCCAAGGCCCCCTGATCTCCTGGACACACACAGGCTTCTGAAGAGTCGTGTAGTTGGCATAAAGTCACACAATGTACAAGCATGTGTCTGGTCATCTATTGGGCTTAGGAAGATGCCACCAAAACATCAAATGTACCACAAACAGTTGTCATTTAATAGCGAAAAAATCTTCTGAGTAGTAACCATAAGAATTCCCATGCATCTGTATTATTTCTCAGCTGGCCAACCCATCCTACATCTCTTTTCTCCCTATGCTTCCTTGAGAAGCGCTTATCGCTTATGTCTGCAGAAAGGAGAATGGGGTAGCCTCGCTTGTTTACGATCACTTTGGTAACGAGGGTATACGTGGATTCAAAGACAGGTCTCTGTCTCTGGTTTGGGGTCTCTCTAGCACACCATCTGCTTGCCCCACCTAACTCCACATTTCTGCTTGCCCCACCTAACTCCACATTCAGCCCAACCGCTGAGCCTCCCAGGGGGTCTTGGAAAGAGCAGAATTTTGGCCTGTAGTCAAAGCAGGTGCCGAGTGTCAGCTGCATTTCCTCCCGTAACTCTTGGGCTCTTGAGGTTGGGGGCCCACTGATACCATACGTCACTCTTCAGCTCAATCAGATGCTATTGAAAGAAATGCTGTGGTTTGTTTGGTTTTGACACATATCCAAGAATAAACTGCTTCAAAAAGCCTGTGAGCTTTTCAAAGGCATTATCATTTACGTCCATGCAGAAGATGATGGTATCAGAAATGAAAGCAGTCTGGAGATGCTATTATTAGGTCACTTTTATTTAGGAAACTATTTAGGGCATCCATAGCGAAAGTTGAAAACCCAGAGCCTATTTAGCTGAGATTATGTTTTCTTGTGGGTGACATTCACCATAGCCAACTGTGAGCAGGAAGGTGACCAGATGTACCTGTAATTAGCGGAGAGGCAGGTAGCTCAGATATTATAGCATTGCCTATCTTTATTATTAAATAATATTTACTATGGGAAATACAGAAATACAGGCAAATATAAAAAGCACCTGAACCCTAGTACCTAGAAATATTCTCATTTCAGATTTCTGTCCCATTTAGATGTACAGCCATATGCTGTATGGTGAAGTTTTCAGAAAGCAAATTAAACACAGCACAATTAATTATGTTTGCCTTGTACTGATTTTAACAGGCTCCCAATCAGGAACCAGCCTTCCAAGGTTTGTCAAAAAGCTGCTTATGTCAAAGCACAGGAGCACATGGTGACTTTGCAGCTCTGTTGGATTTCCTGTTGATGTTATTTTGCTGTTCACCGTGGAGCCGTAAGGTCAAGGTCACCTCTTCTCTTGAGAAGAGGTTAGTTTCAAATAGGTGATCTTGAACGTCAGTGAGGATATTTTGTCTGGCTTTTGCTCATTTTGATCAACCAGTTTGTTTGTTTTCTTCTTATAATAACAAAATATACTCAATGCTATAGAAACTTCAATGAAAGTGCTACAGAAAAGAGAACCCTTGTTATTTTTTCCATTGAAATAATTCTTTTTTTAATGCATTCGAAACACGACTTTATAGGAGTTGAACTAATATAGCAGAATAGGCTTTCTCTATATATACATATTCACACGTACATATATAATATATATACATATATGTAATTTTAAAAATAAAATTTGGATCATCCTACAATGATCTTGCATTTTGCATTTTTTAATCTAACAGCACATTGCAAGCATTTCCTCAGGCATTACATATTCTTCAAAAAATATGATTTTAATGCCAAAGTATTTCCTTACGTGAATATAATATACATTATTTATTCACTCCCCTATTTAACATTTTAAACTGCTCGCAATTCTTTTTGACTATAAAAAGTGCTGCGATAAACAGTGCTTCTCTGTCCCAATCTCTCATTATTTTCTTATAATAAAATTTAAAATACGAATTATCTTCAGGAGGTTTTCATGAGAATCATCAATAGTGAATATAAATCCCCTGATATAATGCCTGGCACACAGCAGGCATTCCATCCTGGCAGCTAGAAACAGAAAAGCAAGTCCCTAAGAGAACAGACAGGTTCTGTCAGAGCAGAATTAGGGAAAAATGAGTCCAGGGATGATGTGACTGGACAGGCTGGGGTAGAGGATCAGAGCATGGGGCTGTTTTGCTCTCAGGGCGAATGGGCCTGCAATGCCCAGAATGAAATGACTCTCCACACTGGACCCAAGGCAGCATTGCCGTCCTGAGACCCCCGCTGCTGCCAGCACACCCTCTTCATCACGTGAATGGCACCGGCTCCACTCTTCCTTCAGAACATTCACGAAACAGAAAAATGTGCTGGGAGAACAAACACATAAATCACTGTGTTCTCAAAGATTGTTTATTAGCTATTTTTATTCAGGTAAAAAATAAATGAAAATGAAAAAAAAAAGCATATTCAATTGAAATTAAATGAGATGAAACTCCAACCAGGTTTCTTCCCCAAGGACCTCAGCTGGACGATAAAAAAGGGGCTTTGTGTTCACAGAGTACTTAGAGGAGAACTCATTAAAAGAAGAAATTAGGAAAGGACACCCTAGTTTCTTCTTGGTAGAGGGCAGGACATGGTGCAATAAAAGACTTTTTAAGCAGACCAGAATGCTTAGTGGAGGCGCCACACACCCCTGGCCACACGGGCACCCTGGTGAACTGCTAGGGCCCTGTCTGCATGTGTCTCCCCAGGCCAGGTGACTCTGTTGCACGTCCTTGGGGGTGGCAATTTCTGTCCTTTGATGGGAGGTTTGATTTCTGGATAGTTTGGTCACCTAGAGCTGGCTTGATGAAACAGGTGTAATGAGCTTCTGCAATGCAGTTGGGAGATAAACGCTCTGATCACTAAAATAATGGGACTAGTTTTCTTATGTGACCACAGCTGGCCCTAAGGGTGCTCCCCAAAGAGGTGTCGTCTTTCCACCTACATCAAGCAATGTGAGCGTCACAGGAGTATGTGCACAGCCCACTAGGGCATGCATGTTTGGATGCTTCAGCTCTGGGCTGGTTGTTAAAACCCCGGTTCACTCCTTTAGTGCTCACTGGGAGCTACAGCTGTACTGCTTGTTCTTTCTTGAAAAAATGGAAGCCTATCAATTTAAAATAAATTTATATTTGGTCCAAGAAAGGCCAGTTATTACAAGGACTTCTATACTTTGAGGGCTAAAGGCTAGGGGTACTTTTTCTCTCTCCCTTCCTCCCGAAGGCTTGCTTCCAGCCCACAAAAAGATTTCTACATGATTGCTCTTTACAATGCCTGGCCCCCTCATCGACAAAGGTCATCAGCACCAGCAGTGAGTGGGTCTGTTCTCCCTGGGTGGCCTCAGAACACCCCTCTGGGTGGGAAAGCTGCAGCACCTATCACATCAGACATCTCCACTGTGTCTTTTTTTGGGTCCAGATACTGCCCTGGGGCCTGTCCCAGCGGTGCCCCTTTTCTTCCTCTGATCCAGAGGTCGGAGGGCATGGCTGGTGGCAAGGTACCTAGACGTCTGGGATAGGGGTATTGCAGTTCCCATGGTAGATCTTGACATGGCCCTCACACCGGAAGTAGTCCTCAAAGACATCACTGTAGCCGTGGTCCCTCCACCAGGTGCAAAGCTGCCGGTTCCAGGTACAGTCCAGCACATGGAAGAGCTCGGGATGCTCCATGCCAATCATGGTGAAGAAGTCCTGGTCTCCCAGGTGGCCGTGGAAGTGGTACTTGTCTGCCAGTTGCTGCACCTGCGTGGGCTCCAGGAGGTGGCTGTAGAGGGGGGACTGGCGCATGGCCTCCAGGTTCAGCAGCATCACCCCACTGTTGAAGCCAGGAAGTCCCTCGGGAGGAGGGCTACCAACGCGGGTCTTGGGGTTCTCATGGCGGAACTGCCAGAATGTGTGCCTGAGGAGGGGGACGAGAGATTTAGTTCAGTTTAGAGTGGCGCAACAGTTTTACCCAGGCCTATTTCCCTGGGTCTCTGCCACTGCCCTGGAGAGAAAGAGAGACCACCGCAGTTCTACAGCCACAAGAACAGAGACGCTGAGGTTCAGACTCTGCATCATACAGAGGCAGAGCTGGGGCTTGGGCTCTGGCCTCCTGACTCCAGACCTCATACTCTCCCCACCATCCTCTGCCACTGCAGAACATCATCTTAGTTGTCCCCAGCACTGGCATAGGTTTCATATGCACCGCTGACTGCATGCGTCAGCTTACACCCCTCTTCACAGCCCAGTGAGATGGAAGGTCTATGAGATGATAGGCCACCTCTGCGCTGAGGAAACTGAGGCACGGGGAGGGCCAGTCACTTGTCCAAATCAAACAACTAGTAAGCAGCAGCTGCAGGGGCCCAATCCAGGCATCTGGCTCCAGAGTCCACTTTCTTAAGATAGCAACAAAACCAGCAGAGCTTTCTATCCCTCTGTCTTTGTCTGTGATCTTGAAAAGGAGAGGACAGAGAGAGGCAAAGATGTAGGAAGCCAAACACAGATGGAAACAAAATTGTTTTCCGCTTTAGAAGAATTCTCATTTGTTAATGCCCCCGTGCTAGCATTTCTGAAGGGTGGGGCTGGGGCTAGAGCTCAGCACAGCCCAGAGCACACAGCAGGGGTTAGGGTGGGAAAACAGTGGACAGTAAGGTTATTTCAGAGGGACTATCACTTCAATTTCATTTTTCCTCCAGGCAGACATTCAACAGAGATCCAAAGTTCCTGCGATGTTACAGTCCTTCCTGGTCTGTCCTCTATTCAATTGCTTCTACCTGGCGAAGGGAAGGCAGCTCCAGAAATCTGTGAGCATGGTTATAGAGGGCTGTTCTGTTCTCCATCCTTCTTTTTTTTTTTTTTAAAGATTTATTTATTTATGCATACAAGATCTGGGGTATAGGCCAGAGATGTTGGGGGTGAGAGGATTCACCAGAGACAGAGTGGGGAGCAGAACAGGCAGATTGACCATAGTACACTGCTGAGGGGAGCAGTGGGCAAGTCAGGAGAGGTCTGCTGAGCCATGTGGGTTGCTCCCTGGCCGGCCAGGGATCGAACTTGTGCTGCAGAGGTTGCGGATTGCTTCATAGGTTGCATCTTAACCCCTTGAGCCACCAGGGAGGCCCTCTCCATCCTTCTTGATGGCAACTTCCTGTGGGTGCTTCCAGCATGGGCGGCAGGAAGGGGCTGAGTCTGGTTCCACATCTCCGGAAATGTGGACACAGCAGGGGGGCCTGGGACTTGGAAGATGGGGGGAGGACTGGGGCGCTCTCTTGTGGACAGTGGCAGGGGCGTATCCAGCATCAGATGATAGCCCATCTGTTTTTACCAGCTTCACCCCTTCCTACAGAGTCATCGGCATGGTTTTGCATGGTGGCAAAACCAACTCTGCTCCCAGCCTCTCACAAAGGTTTCCCCTCCCTGCCCCCAACACATACACACACACCACCACTCAGAAGCTAGGTAGTATGGGAAGTGTGGGATGCAATGGAAAAAAACCCAGAGCCCCGGCCAGAGCAGGCCACAGGCACCCATTGTCCAGTTCCAACACATTTCTCCGTGTCTGAGAAAGGAGAAACCTTCCTTGAAGGCTCACCTATCACAAAGGGCGCAGACAGTTTGATTGTGGCAATGAGAGAAGCCGTCCCCTTGGACAATCTACAAGCAGAACACACAGGTTCACTGTTTGAGCTTTGCCATAATTTGACTGTGAGAGAAACAGAGCTCTGGCGCCTGCTGGTGATAACGACCTCGGCAAATCCAAGCTTCCAGAGCAAACTGAGATGCTGGAGTCTTTCTAGCTGCAAAAGCCTGGGTGATGGGCTCCAGGGGAGTTGGAATGTAGTTTGACAACTACAATTTCTTGAAATGGTTAATTTCAGGACCAGGTTACAAACCAGCTAAAGTTCTACCAAGCAGACCTGGGCCACCACAGCATGCAGAGGACACGAGGGGGTCCAGGCAGGGGTAGGGGGCCTCTCCTGCCAGGGCCCTCTGTCACCCTTCAGGGGTGAGAACAGAAGCCTTCACCAGGGAGGAGATGGGAAAGGGGAAAGACAGCAGCAGGGAGCAGCAGGTGCCTGTGGAGGCCTCAGACCACCTCATAAGCCCTAAAGCCCACTAGGCCTGTTGTCCTGCCCCCAGGGTGTCATCTCTTCCCTTCACAGGGGGTCAGCCAACCAGGGAAGACTGGACTGGCTGGTGGCATGGTGATGTGGGCAGCCCAGTGTCCCCCATTTGTGAGGTCTCCCCAGGACTGCCATCACTTCTGCCTCCTCAGCACCTGGCAAGGAACCCAGCATGGCAGGGCCTCGGGGATGATGGAGGGACTGCCCAGGAATGATGAAGAAGCAGGTGGGCCCAGGCTGCCCAGTCTTCACGTCAGCCAGGACCAGGGGCAGGAAAATGGCAGGACACAAAGTGGCAGCTGCTGAGAGCGAACCTGCAGCTCCCCCAGGGGGGCGCTCAGTCCAGAACTGAGGAGCGGGGGCCTGGAGAGGAGCCCAGGGGTTTGAAAAAGGGTTTCTACTCTTGAGTGAGTTGAGGCACAGAGGCCATGCACAGCTCCTCAGCAGCCTCGGCAGCAAGCTCCCCCAGTTTCCCTCTCTAAGCCAGAGTGACTGGCACTGAGATTACTGGGCCCAGGAGAAGGGGCTGGAGGAAGAGGGGGTGCAGAACACCCTCCCAGGGGGAGGCCGGGACTCGTGGCTCTGTGGGGACATAACGCCAAGCTCGTCGGTCAGGACAAAGAGGCATTGTATAACCAGGAGTCAGAAAGCACCAGGTCTGGGACTTCAGCACATTGTGATATGAAAAAGGAGGGACAGGAAATTGGAAATGCTACCGGCCAAGGGTGTCTGCTGAAGCAGAAACAGCCTGAAAATAAAGCAATGATTCTCTAGGTACAAAATTCTGTCAAGTGCACCCCTGTTTGAGATGACCCTGCTACAGCCACACACCGGTGCTCGGGATGACGGCTGGCCCTGGCACGGGAGCCCACAGCACAGTGGTCCCCCCAAGAGCTGTGCAGCAGACCACCTAGGTCTGTGTCGTGACGCTCTGTGACGTCTGCACAGTGATGAAATGCCTAGCAGCACATCCCTCGGAACACAGCCCTGTCGTTCAGTGATGCATGACTGTGCTCCAAAATGAACCCAGAAAAACAGCAGCCACGCAGGGAGCAGCAGGCTTTTCTGGCTCCATGTCAGCCTGGTCTTGTGGGGCATGCGCCAGCCCGGGGTAGAGAGAAAGACCTGGGGACATGGAAGGGCTAGCACTCGTGGGAGGGGTCTGATGCCACGTGGCAGGGTCCAGCAGGTGGTCTCACCAATTCATTATCCACCACGGCATGGGGACACCTCTCCTTCTCCCAGGCAGTGTGGGGACATCATTGCTGACATTTTAACAGGGAGTGGGCGGACGTCATCAGTGGGGAGAGCCCCAACTCAAAAGCAGCGCTTTTAATCTCAAAGGTCCCTTTCATCTTTGCTCAGATTCCACAGGCGCAGCACTCGGGTTGCAATCTTATTTCTGACATTGGCTGGTCCAACCTAATGCCACGGGCATCGGGCGCCAGGTGCCCAGTGAAAGAGCCGCCACTGGCCCTTCACTGGCTCAGGGGCCAGACCTGAAAGCCAGGTGCGTGGGTGCCCCAGACCCTTGCCATCCTCACAGGACTTGGAGCTGACTTTCTATATTCACAGGCACTGCCAGGGGCACGTGCTGAGGCTGCAGGAAACCTCTGCAAGAATAGAGGGACCTGGTCTGAGTACTGGGACTTCCAGAAGCTTCTCAAATTAACCTCCCACATCCACAGCCTAGTCATGTTACCCTGACTAATTGTCTGAGTTTGGGCCTGTGCTGACCCAGTTCCCATTCCTCAAGTTTATTTGGAGGCCCTCAGTAGAGAGGGTAAGGTTTCTTCCCCTTTGGAAATAATTTCAACCCTGAAACAAGTCCCTGGTGCAGATCATCCACTGTAAAGACAGATTCCTTCCAAATGATCTTCCAAACGGAGGCTCATTGGGAAAATACAAATTAAGAACCTTCATGCACATCCTTCCATTTATGGATGATGAATTTTCTAAATTTTTTATATCAAGTATGTCCTCATTAATAACCATTAAAAAGACTTAAAAACCAGCAAGCCAGTTTTCATGAAAAAAAAAAAAAAAAAAAACAAAACCCTCCATCTTTACTGACTAGAAATGATTTTGAAAAGCAAAGTCATTTTCTCTCTTCAGGTCTTACCCTGACAATCATCGCCAAGGTCACTCTAAATCTCTTATGATAGACCCCGGCCAGAGAATTTAAAGCTCATGTTCTCCAGAAAAGAACACAAGTTGCCATGAAATCCCTTTCTCCTCCACCCACTAGCCCAAATCACAATCCCACATACCTCCCTGTCTCGTCATGAGCTTCTTCTCCACGTTGGTTTTCACAGCGCCTAAGGCTCAGAGCTTTCCACTCTCACTCCCAAGAGGGAAGAAGCAGGGATGGGAATATACACTGAGTCCAGGCAGTTGCACAAGGCTCTCCAGGAAGGTTCTAGAATCCTGTGCTGACTCAGACTGCGTTCAAGCTATAGACTCTGAGACAAGGAAGATTGTGTTTTGGATACAGAGTCCTAAGGAAGCATCAGTTGCTACACGTCTCCTGCCGGGACTGACCCTCCAAAGCCACTACTGTGCAAGCAAGACTCACCTTCCTGGGAGGAAGCTGGATGCTGTCTAATCAGCGGAAGCCAGAATCAGGAAGCACTATTTCCCTGATGCCCATGCTGTGTAACAGGCCCAATCAGCTCTTGTTTGACTTGGAAGGGTCAAGGCGCTTCCAGTCCTCTGAGAGGAAAGGCCGAGTAAGAGCGGTGGGGGCAACGCGGCGTTCTCGCCTCCCCAGCTCCTGTGAGGTGACCTGGGGACA